GGATAAATTCTGTAATAGAGATCTGCTGGCAAGATGATACAACTTTCTCACTGGGCAACAGTTTCAGCCTTTTCTTAAAATACAGAAAAAGAATAACAGAACATTAGGATGCCAGAGCTTTGCTACTAAATTGAAAAGATGTTTAACATATTTGTCCTCTAACTTGAAATGGAGCTGTGTGTGTGTGTGTGTGTGTGTGTGTGTGTGTGTGTGTGCGCGCGTGTTTATGAAGATTGCCACTGTGCCAAAAGTACTAAACTGTTTCTTCTAAAAGACAGACTTGTAAAATAGATGCAGCTAATGTCTTTATGGAAATGAACACTTAAAGTGAGATATCCAGAAAACCCTCTTACAATTAAAATCCAGACATAGGGGCGCCTGGGTGGCGCAGTCGGTTGAGCGTCCGACTTCAGCCAGGTCACGATCTCGCGGTCCGTGAGTTCGAGCCCCGCGTCGGGCTCTGGGCTGATGGCTCGGAGCCTGGAGCCTGTTTCCGATTCTGTGTCTCCCTCTCTCTCTGCCCCTCCCCCGTTCATGCTCTGTCTCTCTCTGTCCCAAAAATAAATAAACGTTGACAAAAAATTAAAAAAAAATAAAATAAAATAAAATAAAATAAAATAAAATAAAATCCAGACATAGATCATGCTGACCTAGACCTTTTACAGGGCTGCTGAGGAAAATGTGATGTACCTGTGCACATCATTGAGGAAGTTTAAATTCTGTGGAGAAGAGGGAGACAGAGAGAAAGACAGGGAAAGAGAGGGAGAGAGAATGAATCATACATGTACCACGGGGCATTTTAAAAATCCATCAATCAGCCTGATAGTTACCTTTCTTAGTCATTTGTTGGTGTTTTATTTGAATAAGCTAGAGGATTCAGATGCTTCTATTATTAAACTCATTCAGCATCCACTTTTACAAACCTTGAACTTTTAGCCACTGTGCCCCCCCCCAAACATAACTCCAGTTGCCAATGAAGGACGAAATATTTTTCATTTCCTCTTGAAATATCTTTATAGGGCCAGAAGTCAAAAGTGATTCCCCGTAGTTACCTTGCTGTCTAAAGCAATAAGTCAAGCCATGATCTGCAGGGCTGGTGTAACACCTTCCTTTTTAGTGAAGTAATTCATTCATTATTCCTGGAGGTTTCTATTTCAAGTTAGATTGGTATGGCCCAAGAAAAACTCTATACTTTTATGATCCTTCACTTTAAAAACCTATAAAAATATAGCACTGAGAATGACAAAGTTTTTTTTTTTTTTTACCACAGTTACTTGTTTATATTACTGATAACTTTATAGACCAAGTCATGGTTTTCATTCTAATTTTGAAAACTTATGGAAGCTTTGAAAACTTTGAAAACATTGGAAGAGTGAAGCCTTGGTAATCATGCATTAAGGTAATTTTTACATGTGTACATGTGTATATGTGTATTTAAATTAATGGGAAATGTTATTAGAAATGGAAATTTGACCCAATTTAACTAAAAGGGAGAAACTATTGGAAAGGTACCAGGCTGCCCATGGAACCCAAAAACACGAATGCAGCTGGGCATCAGTGACAACTTGGAAATAAGGACATGCCATTAGGACTTTATCTGTCCCTCTTCCCCCACTATGCTGCCTGCTCCATTCTTTCTCCCCCTCTTATACAGACCTTCTCTACATCTCTGGTATGCAGTAGGTTGCATGGGTACTAACAGCTCTTGAACTTCATAGTCTATGTGCCAGCTCCAAATTCTCAAGGTAGTACCATGATTGGCCCAGGTCCTGAGCCCCAGTCCAGACAATCATGGCCAGGAGGTGGAAGTCAAGTTACATTCGCATGGCAGTGACTATAGTAATCAGGGCTGGTAGTGATGTGTTGAGACACGAGGGAAAGGACAAAAATCCTTAGAATGTGGAGAGGAGTATAGGTCATTCATGATCACTGTTAACTCCTAATCCTTGTTGTTCCATGAATACAAAAGGCACAAAAGGCAGAAGAAACATAAGGAGCAGTGACATCTGTATGAATGCATATGGATGTTTAAATACTGAGTGAGGTAGAATGTCTCTTGATGATGGTGGTGCTCTAAGATGGCTTGTCCTAGTAGAAGTAGTTGTGTATGGTTTTATGATCTCTCAGTGTGGAACTGGATGAGCATGAAGAAGGAAATCAAGTATTTCACAGACAGTTTACTTTAGCTTCGTTTATCATGGCAAATTAAATCAGAGATTTTTTTTTAAATGAAGGAAATGACTGTGGTACCATTTACATTTATTGAAGATAAACATTCTGCTCTCTCATTTACATAATAGCTACATTTCTAAAATGTCTATAAATCATATATTTAAAAGCAAAGCATATTTCAAACATAATAGGGTGGTGAATCTTCACATGTTTGTGGTCATGAACTCCTTTTAGAATCTGAAGAAAAATGTGGACTCTCCCCAGAAAAAAATATGAGCAGATGCACACACATTTGTGGGGAGATGATATATGACATATTGATATTAGTCCCCTCTTATATATGGTTTCGCTTTCCACAGGGTCAGTCACCCTGGTCTGAAAGCAGGTGGTCCTCCATATGATGTATTACCAGAAGGTCAGTATTAGCCTAATATTGTCACCTTGCTTACAGCATTCACCTCACTTCATCTCAGCACATAGGATGTCATCATCTCACATCAGCACAAGATACCACAAAAAGAAATCTGAGAGAGACGGAGACCACATTCACATCACTTTTATTACAGTATGTAATAATTGTTCTATTTTATTCTTATTTATTGTTGTTAACATTTCACTGTGCCTAATTTATACATTAAACTTTGTCATAGGTTTGTATGTATAGGAAAAAACATAGTACATATACAGTTCAGCACTATATATATATATATATATATATATATATATATATATATATATATATATATATCAGGCTGCTCTCTATATATACAGGTACCGTGTGTGTGTGTGTGTGTGTGTGTGTGTGTGTGTGTGTGTGTGTATAGTTTCAGGCATCCACTGGAGGTCTGGGAAGTATCTCCTAAGGATACTGGAGGTCAAGTGTATGTGAGATCTGAAACCTTAAACATCATGTTGCTTTTTCCTTCCTTCAATCACCCCCATTTGAACAAGCAAAACAAAGACTCCAGATTCTTTAACAAAAGATTCAAATTCCTGGTAAGTATAAGCCAAAAACTTAGTTGGGGGTAGGGTTTGCTGGAGCCTGCGTGAACCTATGGAACAAGTCCCCTTTATAGCCACTCCTGCCCTGAAGGAGATATAAATGATCTGTAGGTAAGGAAAAGAAAACAGAGTTCTTAGGTGGGAGAAAATTGTGATGTTGGAAGGATGTTATATTAATTTGCTATGACTATTATAGCAAAATACCACAGACTAGGTGGCATAAAAGAAACAACAGGCCATGATCAAGATGATGTCAGGGTTGGTTTCTCTTAAGGCCTCTCTCCTTAGCTTGAAGATGACCATCCTCCTCTGTGTCCTCACATGGCCTTACCTGTGTGTGCACACCTCTGGTGTCTCCTCGTGTGTCTCAATTTCTTCTTCTTACAAAACCAGGTCGGGTTAAGCACCACCCTAACAGCTTCATTTTAACTTAATCACCTCTTTAAAGACCATTTCTCCATATATAGTCACATTCTGAGGTACTGGGCTTAGGGCTTCAACATATTAATTTGAGAGGACACAATTCAGCACATAACAGATATGTACTGCATCACACTCCTGGAAGAGTCTTAGGGTAGAGGTGGGACAGAGATTTCTCCTTTATGTTAACAGGGCCCAAGAGTAAAGAAATTTGTATCCAGCTTTCCCTTTGGAGTATTTTGAAAATCTCAGTCTTAATAGAAGAACCCAGAACAAAATGCTGTAAAGTGGAAATATAAATGTTAGTATGTCTTATCTAGATCCTGAAGAGCTGAGGATTATGGCCTGTCCAGCCCCCTGGGTATTCTCATGGTGCCTACTTAGTAAGCATGGGGCCTTTGTGAGCTCCAGGAGGCCCGGAAGTTAGTTGGGAAAGTGAACCAACCAACAGGCCATGGGAAAGGCTACCTGGAAGGGCAACCACACAAAATACCAAAGAACAGTGCAGCCTGTTGACTGGTGTGCAGAGATGTGGCTACAATTCCATGGCATTGCACATACCAGGCATGGGACCAATCCATAGTTGGAGAATAGTCAGTGCCTGTTCACTAGAGCCAAGTTATGCTTTCCTCACACCCAGAGAACAGAGAGACCAAGTCACCACTTTAGAAAATGAGAGAGATCATCAACACCCAGACGTGTCCCCCAATGTCACAGTGCTTCATAAGTCTCCTCTGGACCAGCAAGCTACCCCACAGTGAGGGAAAAGGAGGAAGAGAGAAAGCAACAGAATCTTAAACTGGATATGTTGTAAACCAGGATACACTCAGTTTAATAGAATTGAGAAAACTAAGTTAAGCACCTAACAAGCAAATAGGTGCTTATAAGTTAATTGTATTAGAAAAATTATGTTCCACTTTTTATACCTGAGATTTAAAGACTCTACTGACTTTTAAGAATATATCCTTTATACTTCTTGTTTTTTATGCATTTTCAGGAAGTGCACTGATCTCTCAGAATAGCCATTTATGACTCCAGATTGAGAATATTTGCCCCAAGGGATCTGGTTCTTTAAATCTGGTTGTGTGAAAAATCTTTTTAACAACAACAGGCTAATATATATATAATTTTCCACTAATGTATTATTTGAAATTCTATTTTCTTAAAGAGAGGCATGTCTGGAATTTACAGCACAATAGCTCACATGATTATGTTTAGTAAATGCCAGGAAAAAACAGAATTACAAATGGAGAAATTATAGACAATCACTGGGTAAAGATAGCTATATTTGAGCAGTAGAGCGATCAGAGGTGACAGTATTATGCTGTTTCACTTCAAGAAATATAAAGCATTAAAAAAACGGAAGTCTTCAAAAGCAAAAATACCTCAATTGTTTTTCTTCCTTGTCCATTTTCAACCAAACATTTTTTTATTACTTAATAATGTCACTAGTGGCATAGAATGAAGGAGAAACTTGCATATCAGACACATTTGTAAGAAATGTTTGTGGTAATCAGTGGCACTGATTGGAGCAGCCTGTACTTTCCAGAGCTAAGCCCACTACCTGAATATTTTGTTACATTTTGTTCATTGGTGTCTCTATCTTGCGTTCCACACTTAAACAGAAAAATATATCCCTCTCACCTTGTTTTCAAATATTTCTGTACATACAATCTTCCTGACAATTTACCATGGTAGGTCTCTTTTCCATGGAATAATCAAGTTTTACCATCTCCTAGTGACCTGATTTAGACTGGAATAAACCAATTTTGATCACCAAAGCAAGTCAGAATTGTGTCTAACTTTATCTCCCAGTAAAACCTGTAATCTCTGGAGATGCTCTCCATTAAGATGTCATTTGTTCATCAAGATACAATTTGTGCTTCAGGATCAGACAAATTTGATTTCATCTTAGTGCTCCCATTTATCAGCTGTGTGATATTTGACAAGTGCCTTAAAATTTCTGAGTTTCTCCTTCCTCATCTATAAAATGGGGATAATAGTACCTACCTCATAAAGTAACCACGAAAATCCTCTGAGACACTGTAAGGACAGGACATGAGCTGGAATCTATTTTTCACAACTTATTTATCATCAAATCTCCCCTTGGCAAGACTAAAGAAGATGGAGACGGAAGAGGCAAAATCAGCTTCACTGTGAAAACTAATTTATATGTTCTAGGCTAGCTATTTCACATTACCTATGACTAGACATTTGTTACAGAGCTATTGATCAGCAACTATGAAAATGAACACAGTTCAGAAGAATCTGGCTAAGGTCTCTCCCATCTGAGAGAATTTTCCAGAGAATTTCCCAGATACTAAGTCGAGAGTGCCATGAAAATTAGGAAACAGGAGAAATCAAATCTGGTGGGAAGAATAAGAAAAATTTTCATGAAGTAGGTGATGTTTGATATGAGGGATTTCAGGAGACTTAAATGGCAAGAATTCCACAGGGAGACACCTCAGCACAGGGACAAGTGAAGTCTACCTATGAAAACTCTCATCTTTCAGGGTCTGATTAGAACATCGTCTACCCTGAGAAAACCAACCATTTAATCTTGTTCTATGTTTCTTCCACACTGCGAACCTGCCTCAGTTGTATCATTTACTGCACCGGATTTGTTGACACATGTGTCTCCTTCACTGGGTCACAAGCTCCACCTAAAAGTACAAACCAGGTTTTACTTAACTTTATGTAACAGATGTTAAGGTTCCAGAAAACTGAGAATTTAAGGCTTAGGGAATTTTGCATTTCCTATTTTTAAGTCATATTATATCCAACCTGAACCTCTCATTTCACTTGCTGAAAAATCTGTCAGTTTTTAGGATCTACTTTACCTCTTTTGGACCTTCTGTCAGGAGCGGGGGGTTCCCTTGGTCCTGAGGCATCTTCAGACCCAGCATTTTCTCAGCACTTCTGCATTCCTCGCGGGTTCATCAGGAACTTTGGACCTCCCCTTGGCACATGAAGATCATGGGATGTCATGGCCCATCCATCTAGAATCTTCTTCTGTCAATGCTCTCTAACATGCTACCCCAGGCTGAGTGTAGAACTTCTCTGTGATGTGCCACGTTTGAGGAACTTCAGAATGTATTTCAGTATATCTACTTTCTCTCCCTTGCAGATTAACCTCTAAGGTGGAAGAAAGACAAGCACATACATTTTCCTGCCCTTTTCTCATTTCCTGTCCTTTCTCCCCTCCCAGTTTTCCACTTCCCTACCCTGTGCACCATGGCTTCTATATCATATCCTCCTCTTTCTCTGGTGGCAATCGTGCTCCTCTTTCTTGGGAGAATAATTCTGGAGAAAACACAGAGAAATAATTGAAGAGAAAATGAAGAGAAAATTCATCTGTGTTATTTCAAAAATATTATCCTATGTTATACAAATAGATGAATGAGTATGGTAATGTACATGCATGTGTACATTTTTGAAGACTTGAAATTTCAGAGTAACTTTTCTTTTTAATATATAATGGTATATTACTTTCTACAACATATCCAGATAAATAGGAAGTTACAGATTTTCTTCTTTGTAAATAGAATGTAAGCTTTTTGTGCAGAATGCATGGCAATATTCTCTAAGGTGAAAGTGGAGAAATCATTACAGATAGCTCAAAAATGTTCTTCCTTTGAAATACTGCACTTATGGGCAAATAAGATCATTTGAAACCTTAGGAAATGGGTGAGAAAATTCATCAATGTGAAAAGACAACCAAAGACAACCATTTTATTTGGTCTAAAATGAAGTAACATTTTATAGGACTGAATTTCAGCTTCATGAAAGTTATAATGAAAACAAATGAGCCACTCATTTTATGTTAAAAACCTCCCTAAGTTAGCCTTTTCTGGTTTTGTAACCAAAAGCTATAGCTGGGAGTAGATTTGAGTATTTTTTTTTATTTTTTTTCTTTTTGATTTTGTTTAATATGAAATTTATTGTCAAATTGGTTTCCATACAACACCCAGTGCTCATCCCAACAGGTGCCCTCCTCAATACCCCTCACCCACCCTCCCCTCCCTCCCACCCTCCATCAACCCTCAGTTTGTTCTCAGTTTCTAAGAGTCTCTTATGTTTTGGCTCCCTCCCTCGCTAACCTTTTTTTCCTTCCCCTCCCCCATGGTCTTCTGTTAAGTTTCTCAGGATCCACATAAGAGTGAAAACATATGCCATCTGTCTTTCTCTGTATGACTTATTTCACTTAGCATAACACTCTCCAGTTCCATCCACGTTGCTACAAAAGGCCAGATTTCATTCGTTCTCATTGCCACGTAGTATTCCATTGTGTATACAAACTACAATTTCTTTATCCATTCATCAGTTGATGGATATTTAGGCTCTTTCCATAGTTTGCCTCTTGTTGAAAGTGCTGCTATAAACATTGGGGTACAAGTGCCCCTATGCATCAGCACTCCTGTATCCCTTGGGTAAATTCCTAGCAGTGCTATTGCTGGGTCATTTAAAAAAAAAACCTTGATAAAGGGGGTAACTCAGAAGTGAGTGGAAGCAGGGAGCAGGTAAACACCACTACTTTAATACTGTGAACCTTTTATCAAGTTCTCCAAATGGAGGATGAATATGAACCTTGTGGTCAGATTACTTTTCATTTTTGGGGAAAAAGTCCTTTGCTGGGTTTTTGTAATGGTAAAGCCAAAAAGAATATTATTCTACAATGGGATGTTCAAAATAGTGAGGAAGCAAAATAGCTCTAAATAACAACAAAAAAAAGTTGTCTTCATTCTAGGCCCTAATTAAGTCTCTGAAGATGATTATGTTTCCTGGAGGGGGGCTTTGAACTGGGGGTTAGGAGTGGTGGGTGAGAGAGAAAATAGATCTGTTTCTTGCTGGATCTCAGAAGATTGTGGGGCAACTGAACTCCAGGCAGGGAGCCCGTGATCAAAGGCACTTCTCTTTCAAAGATGCCAAATGCATCATGTGGGCGGACTAAGTAGCATCTCCTCTCCACCCCATTATGTCTCTATCCCCACATCCCAGCTACCTTATAGAAGGATGAGGCCTTTATATCTTAGAAGTCCTAAGAAGTCATCTTTTGTTTGTTTGTCCTCCTCCATTGTTATTCCTTTTTGTACCCACCATTCATCTGAGAAATGTAGTTAAACCAAGTAGCAGGATCTTCACTGAGCATTGGTGACTTTGTTCTCTCCCAGAGTGGATCAGAAGGACAGCAACAACATGGAAAAGCCAGCCTGGAGTTAGAATCAGAAAGTTAATTGGTTGAGAGGACTCTCCAAACCTGAAGAATTTGTAGGATATATAAGCATTCTTTGGATCAAAAAAAAATGCTGGACTTCCAAAAATCAAATGGGATACAAGCTCCAATGATTCATAACTGTTTGTTGTAGGTATGATCCTCAAAGACTGGAAAAGCCATACACATCTGGATGATATTTGCAAAAAACAGAAGTACCCTGGGCAGACATGAAATACTAGAAATGTGCGGTGTTGACCTGTCTTGTGGGTTTCCTCTCTGTTTCTCTCATTTTTTTTTTCTGCCAGAGAAGCCACTGGCATTGCTGCTACTGGGGTCCTGGTCACCTTTTACTGGACAGCTATAAATGGAGGAATGAAGAAAACTTGGTGGACACTGCCACCAGAACCACAGTCTTTCTTCTGAATCGTCCCTTTGATCATTAATATTTCTCAGTAAGTTGCATTGTCTATGGTTCTTTTTGGAAGTTCCCCTTTCTCCTCCTACCACTAATTGAATTATCTTCTGTATTCTCATTAGTCCAGATTGCAAAGGATAGCAACTGACTGGATAACAGATTGGGACAATTCATCTATCTCCTATTAAGAAGAGAGCCTCTTGTAGCAGGCTACCTCATGTATTGCTGACCAATGTATGCTTAGGCTAACCATCAGGTTACATTAGATCAGGTGTCCATAGTTCTCTATAGAGTATAAAGGGCATTGCAGGATTATTTCTGAGAGGAGGTAACTGAGCATTTCAGATTGAGAGAGATATTGGGCACCAGTCTAGTAAAAGTCCATAGTGAAACAAATATGCACATTCAAATACATAAGAAAACAGCATTTGATGAAAACATATACACATACAGTTAAATAGGTTTCTGCTAAAGATCATTAAATCAAAGAAAGAGGTTCAGTACTTGTCATCACTACAGACACACTTTACAGATGGGGTTAAGCCAACATGGCAACACGAAAGTTGAATCTATTACTGTCCAGGTCAAATTCCTAATATGTGATTCATTGTTGAGCCTTGTCTTTCTAAAATAAGGAAAACACTGGCCAGTTTTTGTTCTGCTTTTTATAATAAAGCATGCAGTTGTGGCTTATATTAGTTGCAAAAGAGAAAGCATACTATGTGAAATAGTAAACCACAGCTTGATTGTCCTTTGATAATCTACATTCCCTGGATGCTGCAGTTTATTTACACAAGTATTGATGAAAGGCTAACTTTTTATTATACACAAACCAATTTAAACCATTCTTAAAAATGAATTAAAAAAGTCATCTTTGCTTGCACAATTACACAATTACATGGTTTTCAGCAATCTCTAAATGTTTCTTTCTTTAAAATTCCGTTGGAACACGGTTATTTTTATATTACCTATAGATAGGATTTTTTCTAGCAATTTGACAAATAAAATTAAAGTCAAATTTTGACTTTCTTCTATCTCAATGTCAGACAATACCCCCAATCAAAATGGCTTAGTGGTATAAAATAAAAGGCTCAAAATCGATATTCCAAGGACCTACTTTATCAGGTCCCCTGGTTCTCAGCCACTGTTTCTCTCTCTCCTTATGTTTGGAGCCATTTGACACCCTGGTATGGGCTCAGTCATTTCTCAGGTCCAAAGGCCCTTGGTGGGAAGGATCTGAGGACAGCCATCCCCTACTGGAGGGACCAGCTTCAAGACGCACTTTACTGTTCATCCTTCTCAGAGCTTGTATACAATTTTCCTGACTTGGATTTTTCTTTTTTCTAAAACCCAGAATTAAAAACAACTTTTTGAAAAATTGACTCTATGTCTTAAAAATGGGTCACTGAAATTTATTGGATTTAGCTTTCATTTTTGACATCAATATATCTTACCAGGACATCCAGGTCTACTCTCTGTTCACTGGATCCATAATTATAGACATGGTTTCCATGTAATGGAGCAGCATGATATCCTGGGGATAGGTGAAGTGCTTAAGAAGCCCATGAGCCAAACGAGAAGGCAGCAAACTATGGCTTAGAGGCCACATATGCCCTGCAGCCTGTTTCTGTAAAGCTTGCAAGCCAAGAATGATTTTTATTTGTTAGGTTGGTTTTTAAAAAGAAAGAGGAAAAAGAATATGCATTAGAGACCATATGTGGCATACAAAGCCTAATATATTTACTATTTGACCCTTTCTAGGAATAGTTTGCCAATCCCTGAACTAAATTACTACAGAGCCAGAGAGTTGATATAGTCCTCAGTCCATTGCTGTCCCTGCTATTTAAAGGAAACTGTTTTTGTGGTCTCTCCTTATTGGGGTATTTAATCTAGGAAAAGAATTTGCCAACTTAACAGTTCTATATCAAGAATCAGAGTCTGTGTTGACTGCAGAAAATAAACCACATATAAAACAGCAGCCCCACTTGGAATCACCTTCTCATTAAGTTTCTGATAATCCATTAATACTGTTCCCCAAACCCATCCATCTTCTCACCGGTCAAGCAGGAGAGCTTAATGAGGATGGGGGTAACTGGGAAATGTAACAGAAATTATTATTCCTACCTTCCTCAAGTGTTTGATAGTAACATTCATCTCTACAACCCCTCCAGCTGCATGGCATTTTTTAGGTTGACTATTATGGCAACACCTTGGCACAGAGGCTTCCTTTTGCCCATCCGGAGCCTTCACTCCATGGGCCAGGAAGCCAACATGTAGATGTTGACAAGTCTGTTCCAGCTATACCTATGAAAACCAGGAAAGTAGCTATGGAATGATTCACCAGTAGGTCCCTGTTGACTCACTGTGAAAGGAACCCAGACCACATATCCACTGATACTCTCTGAACTTCAGTAAGCCTCCTCTGTGTAGTGGGCCACAACAGCATTCTGGAATCAACATTAGCTCGAGCCCATGTCAATAATCCGCAAAGTTCTGGGTGGCTCCTTTCTCCCAGGCAAAGCCATTTTCCTGAGAGGTGGCTGCAGGTCCTTTTCAGGGGAAGACCAGGAACAGTGCTCATGGTACTATTGTAGGATACTTGCTCATTCATTTCTGGGCTTGGGTCTATGAACTGCAAAAGGGCTATAACTCATGATTACAGTTACTCAGGTCACCTAGAATTTAGCTTTTTTTTTTAGTTTCAGTTTATGCAGATCAAGGAGCATGATAACAGTCCTGCACATTCCTATCCCTGGCAGTCAGACCCTGTGATATCTCTCCAGCTACCTATTAGGGGAACCACATCCATCTGCCTCTGTCTTGGATCTGTCATTGTAGCATCCCCTGCACTTTGCTGCCTGGGACCCCATCAACCCCAGAAAAGTCAGGAGCCCTATCCTTTAGCAGCAACTCCTATGGTCAGGTCTGGCCTGCAGAGAACAGCCACTCTGATGATTTTTAAGGTGTTTCTTTATTAACACAGTGCCTCACTGTAGAAAAGTGCCCTGTAGTCTGTCTCATGAGACATAACTAAATGTAGATGAGTGATTTGTATATCATAAAAATACCCTAATATTTCTTTATCTTTACATCCATTTCTCTACATTATCCCAAGAAATTTCTGGTAACATAGCTTATACATTGGCTACCACCATACCAACAATTCTGTCAAACATTCTGAGCTACTCAAGTGAGCATATTGAACATGGAATCCCTGGCAAGTGCACCCAATGCAAAATAACCAACCCAATCTAAAATTACTCTTCTCTCTTCTTGGTCTGACACCCTTGGAATCCATTCCCACACATATTGCAGGTTTTTGCCATTGCAACTGAGCAAAATCTTGTGATTCTTTTTGTTGTATAAATCTTTTCCCTCCAGCTTTGACTTTGTATTTGCCACCACACTCGCATGCCGGGATTTATTCTATATGGCTCTAAGGCAATGTTGGGGTATAGACACACAGAGAGCTGACAACTTCTGCTAACTTAACTCCCTCCAGTGAAGTCATCACGTGGCCCTCTGTCAAGAAAAGAACAGCCTCCTAAAACAGGAAACAAGTTTGCTTTTGCTTTCAAGGAACATTTGATGGAATATGGGCTTTTAAGGTACTCAGGGACATATGAATCTACCACATTTCATATCTCAGTTTTCTTGGCCCCATTCATCCTGATAAATGCGCTAGGGTTCACACAAGAAACATGAAGTGTATGAATCCACACTGTTATGCAGTTCAGAAACCTGAAGGATCAGACTCTGGTTCTATCTTTTGGTTCTGTCCATTGAACAACTGCAAGACAGAAGAGAGGCCTGCAGGCAGCCATGGAAGTTCCTCGATTCTCTGACCATACTTAAGCAGAGCACTTTATATTTCATTTTATCATTTGTCCTTTAAGTTCTCTGGAGCTGATAGAAAAATCTACCCCACATACTCACAACCCTACCTGCATTCCTTAATCCTCACATAATTACCAGCATCTCTTAAGCCACCAGAACATTGTCATTGATAGGCTTCTTATTCTGAACAACCCCAGGTGATGAGGTACTACATCACCAGTACATACCAGTGTCTATTTTATGATACCAACAGATTCTTAGCCGCCTTCAGTTCAAACCAGAGAGCTAACTAATCTCAGAATTTCACTCCTTGAGAGCCAGTTGCTTGCAACCACAACAGTCTGTGAGGGTTCAGTTACAGAGAATAAAACCTACTCTAGACCATGCCAGCAGAAAGAAATTTGTTTTATTGGGTATTAAGTGGCTTCTCAAATTGTTCATAAACTGAAGAGACTTTAGTCTGATCTTCCAGGAGAGGAAACTTAAGTCATGACCAGAACTGCTGCTGCCCTGGCCATAATCAAGAAGTGGCCTGATGAATCAAGAAGTCGTGGTGACAGCTGCTAGCTCAAGATCAAAGCACTTGCACTTCAATCTGCACCAGCAAAAATAGGAGGCTCATGTCATGTTTCCCTCCACTCTTACTTTAGTTCTGGATTTAAGTCTTATGTAAAGGCATCTGGTTGACAGAACATAAATCATGTCCCCAAATGTGGGAAATGTAGATTTAGCTCACTAGCCTC